CTTCCTCCAGTGAAAAAGTGTTCTGGTGTGAATCAGGAGAGAAACCTGCACAGATCAAGCAGCATTTAAACAGCTCTAAACTAATATGTGGCTGGATTTTGATGTGAGAGACAACAGCAGATGCACTTTTTCACTGGAGGAAGCGTTATTATGGATTATGCACTCAGTGTATTTTAGTTAAAATCGTCTTAATGCTGGATGTGTCTCAGCTTTTGTCTTCTCCAGATGTTAACTGATGGACTGGAGTGCTGTGGATTATTGTGATGTTTTGATCAGCTGTTTGGACTCTCGTTCTGACGGCACCCATTCACTGCAGAGCATCCATTGCTGAGACACTGATGCAATGCTACATTTCTCCACACCTGATGAAGAAACAAACTCATCCTAATCTCAGATGGCCTGAGAATGAGTGCATAGTCAGCAATTTCAGCATTTCTGGGTCAACTATTCCTTTAAGCTTGGAACAGTAAAGAATTGCTAATTAATACATGCATCCAAGTTGGAGTTTATAAAATCACTTCTTTTGGGTCTATCGGGTTCTACAAGTATTTCACCTTCTGGTTGAATTATAAATGGAAATACATACATTTTAACTTGAAAGTAAAGATCTATGACACCTAATCTGTTCTCTGGCAGCTTGTCTGCTAACACCTCTTCTGCTCAAAACTCAGTTTATTCTCATCAAACAGCATCTGAAAGAAAGGCCCACCTGCAGCTTGTGGTGTGGATTCACTATCTGTGTCTCCTCCGCTGTTTCTCTCAGATACACGAGCAGCCGGCTCATCTTCTGTGGCCATTGTCCTCTGGATGTTCTGATACCTGGTGACAAAACCATCATGCTCAAATTATCATCGTTCTTGATGCAAAACAATGTGCTGTTTATACAGTACATCATAAAATGAAGAAAACTTATGAAAGGCATCATGTTGTTTTTTCCAACCTCTAGTTTTTTTCGTGCATTGTGACCGTGCGGTCAGAGCAGTGAAGAGTCTCTGTTTGCCTAAAGTAATATTCATAAACTTTTAGGAAAGGCTTGTTTTCTTTTTGATAATTTGAGCTACTTGCATGGTAGCATATATTGCATATATTTCAAAATGACCAACAATTAATCATTCAAATGTTTGAAGCTTGAGGTCAATGTTTATATAAAATATCTGCTTTGTTCACTAAGGCTGCATTTATGTGCTCAAAAATATTGTGAAATATTATTACAATTATCTGTTTTCTACTATAAATGTCTTTACTGTCACTTTTGAGCAATTTAACATAAAACCCCATTTACTCCTGTTAGCTGTAGTGTAACACAGACAGATTCAGCATGTGTGCGTCCTGTAGGTGGCAGCATCAGCTCAAATATACTTGAAGCTGTTTTTGCTCCAACCTGGTCAATTCACTAGCATGACAGCAAAACATTGAGGAATACTCACAGCACTTCTATAAAGCCTTACTGAACTGCATCATTATTAAAAGAATGTTTCATCTACACTGATTAAAGTCTGCAATAATAGACTAATACAGAAACTATTCTACAGGGCTATACATAAGTATGTTAAGTCACCATACAGAAGAATACTACAGTTAATGAGTGTATAGGGGACTGATCCTGCTGTACCTCCGGTTGAGCTGCTCCATCTGGTGAGTGGAGCCGGATCTCTGGATGCCGCTGCATTTGGCTGCTTGGCTGGGCCTCTGCCACGTGGTGGTGCGGTTCACATGGTCCACGTAGAAAACACGGCCGTGACTGTCTATCCTGGCCTCCCAGTCTGTGCCAGATTTAAAGAAATACATGAGATTATATATAAGAAGCATATAAACACATACAGTCAGGCTGAGTAGAGACAATTCAATGCAATTTAAATCATAGGTTGTGAATATATCATACATTAATCATATATATATATATATATATATATATCATACATGTACTAAATACACATTATGCATAGAATATTCAACAATTTGAATTGATGTTAGCAAACAGGATAGAGAATTGGAGTGAAATTCAAAGAATTTCCAAAAAAAGTTTGGTATTTAATAACATTTCATTCTTCGGTATGAATTACCCATAAACATGTTATCATGATATCTGTAGACAAATTATGATAATGTTTGAAATGATATAACTTGTACTTAGTTTATATATATTTTAAATAAAACTTTTATCTAAGATTCTAAAATCTTCTATCAAATATATAGTCTATATAATACAATATAGCATTAAATTGCTCAAAAGTGACAGTAAAGGCATTAATAATGTTGCAGTAGATTTCTATTTCAAATAAATGCTGTTCTTCTGAACTTTCTGTTCATCTGTGAATCCTGAAAAATAAAATGCATCACGGTTTCCACAGAAATATTGTGCAGCACGACTGTTTTCAACATTGATAATAATCAGAAATGTTTCTGGAGCAGCAGATCAGCATATTATACTGATTTCTGAAGATCATGTGACACTGAAGACTGGAGTAATGATGCTGAAAATACAGCTGCACATCACAGAAATACATTACAGTTTAACACAGATTCACACAGAACACAGCTGTTTTACATTAGAATAATATTTCACAATATTACTGCTTTACTGTACTTTTGATATATTTGATAACCAATTATATTTATATATTGACAGCGCCTCTGTAAATTTTTAATTCAAGAAAATTCTTTCAGTCATTCCAATTCCAGCATCTTGTGTGAAATAGACATTTCAATTCAAATTCAGTCATGAACTGAAAGGAAGCAGCTATCGAGTCTGGCATTCAGAATATGCATGGAAAATCACTTGTATGTTGAACCCTGAAGAAGCACAGCTTTAAACACACACACACACACACACTCACTCACACTCATTCACACACACACACACACACACACACACACACACACACACACACACACACACACACACTCACACACACACACACACACACACACACACACACACACACACACACTCACTCACACTCATTCACACACACACACACACATTTGGGTGTTGTACGGTCATAAATAAGATATCGTTATTCTTCAGGCCTTGGCAAAGTAGAGCTATCTGCGAGGAATAGGATTTGATGTATTAGTCTCTATTTTAGACAATTTTATGACAATCTATGCCATAAATCAGTGTTTCTTAACTGGTAGGGTGAGAATTTTTCTGGCAATGTCACATAAAAAAATATAATAAAATATAAAACTGCAATAAAATAATAAAATATTTTATTGAATAAAAATATTTAAAAAAATTAATAATATAAATTACAATATATTATATAAAATATTACTTTAATAAATCACAATGTTTTTTTATGTATTTATTTATTTTATTTATTTATTTATGGTTTGATATGCATTTTTGGTATTTTATCGTGTACCAATGTAATGGTGCCTTTTGTAGCTGTAATTTAAAACATATGAAGCTTTCTTTTGTCCTTGTAACATATTATATGCGTTTCTATTTTACCGTAAACTCAAAGCTCAGCACCGTTCCAACAAGTGTGACAGATTTTGTCCATCCTGACCATCAATGCACTCAAAATGCCAAAATTTTGTATTCTAAAATTTAAAGGGTAAATTATTATAATAATGAAGTTATTTTGCAATTGGTGCACTGCAAACCACCCATTTTTCAAAAATTCCTGCATGCTAATAACTCTATATGTAAATATCCTAGGCATTTTTCTTATAAAAAATGTCTTGATGTCTTAGTTTGCCTTCACTTTCAAGCTATTTAACTAGGATTTGAGAATTACTGGCTTTGAAAGCAGCATTCATTGTGTAGCTGTAATTTAAAACATATGAAGCTTCCTTTTGAAACGCAGTATGCATCCTCAGCTTCTTTGTGGCCCGTATCACTATGGCAACTGTGAAGAAAGCCCTTGAGAGATCAGATCAGACCATCACTTATCTCTTGAGACACAAGCTCATTTATATCAACTGTGTTCCGAGTTCCCCGGAAATCCCTCTTGAGAAGAGTGTACAGATCAATTCTGACACCAAAAGCTTGTGTTCTTTCCATTTTTGAAAGCTCTTGCCCTGCCTGTTTGCCTAAACAAGCTCATGATATATAAACACCAAGAAAAATGCAAGCAGGTTTTAAGACCCAAACAGTAATTTGCGAGTTCATTTCTCTCGAGGTTTGGAGTGAACAACATGCCAATGTCGTTCAAAGACCTGTTAGAGTCTGACACCCGTTTCCTCTGACTAATGGAATAAATGGTGCTTGACTGGGGTTTTGTAATTAGTATCAGATTGCATTTTATTATATATCCAACACTTCTGTTAGAAAGGAGAGGGTGAGGAATGTCACTGTGATGGACAATGATATGAATGATGAGATGCAATGCTGGGAGTGAGCACTTTTAAACGTGGTCTGTACATGTTCTGAATGTAGACCCACACACACACACACACACACACACACACACACACTCACTCATTCAAGCTATTTAACTAGGATTTGAGAATTACTGGCTTTGAAAGCAGCATTCATTGTGTAGCTGTAATTTAAAACATATGAAGCTTCCTTTTGAAACGCAGTATGCATCCTCAGCTTCTTTGTGGCCCGTATCACTATGGCAACTGTGAAGAAAGCCCTTGAGAGATCAGATCAGACCATCACTTATCTCTTGAGACACAAGCTCATTTATATCAACTGTGTTCCGAGTTCCCCGGAAATCCCTCTTGAGAAGAGTGTACAGATCAATTCTGACACCAAAAGCTTGTGTTCTTTCCATTTTTGAAAGCTCTTGCCCTGCCTGTTTGCCTAAACAAGCTCATGATATATAAACACCAAGAAAAATGCAAGCAGGTTTTAAGACCCAAACAGTAATTTGCGAGTTCATTTCTCTCGAGGTTTGGAGTGAACAACATGCCAATGTCGTTCAAAGACCTGTTAGAGTCTGACACCCGTTTCCTCTGACTAATGGAATAAATGGTGCTTGACTGGGGTTTTGTAATTAGTATCAGATTGCATTTTATTATATATCCAACACTTCTGTTAGAAAGGAGAGGGTGAGGAATGTCATTGTGATGGACAATGATATGAATGATGAGATGCAATGCTGGGAGTGAGCACTTTTAAACGTGGTCTGTACATGTTCTGAATGTAGACCCACACACACACACACACACACACACACACACACACACACTTTTATAACGCTCAGATACATATTCCCACATGAATGAAGGTAGCAGGTTAATGGCATAAGCGAGGGTCAGGTGTAACTCAGGAAAGCTTACTTGGTGGTAATGGTTCATCAACACTTGGGTGATGATGGGGATCAGGCCGCAAAGCAGGAAGATGAGTGATTGCATGATGATGGCATTGCATATGACAACTGCCTACAAACAAAATCAAATACAGGCCCATGACTTATGACAATCTACATATGCCATAAATCAGTGAATTGGCCTGCCAATGTCACACAAAAAACATAATAAAGTCTAAAAACTGCAATAAATATAATGTATTAACTAAATCAAATATTTTTATTTAAAAAAATTAAATAATATAAATTAAATTACAATATACAGTATAATATAAAATATATATTTTGTATTAGTTTATTTAATTAATGTTTTCTTTCTTTCTTTTTTATTAGTTTGATATGCAATTTTGGAACTCTATTGTGTTTAAAATCTAGGTCACAAGTTGAGAACCACAGCAATGAATAATATATGTGACCCTGGAGCACAAAAGCAGCCTTAAGTGTCAATTTTCCAAAATTGAGATTTATACATCATCTGAAAGCTGAATAAATAAGCTTTCCATTGATGTATTGGCTGACAATAGACCATATTTGGCTGAGATACAACTATTTGAAAATCTGGAATCTGAGGGTGCAAAAAAATCTAAATATTGAGAAAATCATCTTTAAAGTTGTTCAAATGAAGTTCTTAGCAATGCATATTACTAATCAAACATTAAGTTTTGATATATTTACGGTAGGACATTTACTAAATATCTTCATGGAACATGATCTTTACTTAATATCCTAATGATTTTTGGCATAAAAGAGAAATGTATAATTGTGACCCATACAATGTATTGTTGGCTATTGCTACAAATATCCCCCAGCGACTTAACACTGCTTTTGTGCTGCAGGGACACATATAGGCAGAATTCAGGGCCAAAATTGTCAAAAACACAATTTACCTGAATTCACCCTATATATGTAATATCTCGAAAACACATTCACTGAGATATTATGGACCAGGTAGCCTTTCTGGTGACTGTCCAGTAAATGTGGTCAGTGAAGGTGAAAGACTAATTAGAGAGTCATTATTGGATCTCAACAGGAAGAGATCATATTCAGCAGTGTACCTGAGGTTCAGCAGTAATTGACTGCCAAACTCATCATTGGGCAAACTAGCAAGTAGCACTGCAGCAATTATAAGTGGTGTGGCTTTCTTTTAATGGTGATGCTATTTTGCTGTGACAAATTCTACCTGTGCTTTAATGAAGTATAAAAACAACCCATTACAACAACTTAAACATATAAAGCTGGATGAAAAAGTGTGTTCAGTGTTATGAGAGTGTTTCAATAATTGTCCAGTACCATACTACTAGTTATATTTCTGTAGTATGCAGTGTGTATGTTGTGTGCAGTATAAAATCAGTCAATATGCACGCATATGACCAGTTATATACACTACAACAAAGCAAACTGCATAGAACACTGTATCCCACAATGCAATGAAGAGGATAGATCTGGAAATAACATCTGAGGCATTTTCAACACTACTTTCTCTGTCAATGGATAAGACATTTAACACAATAACATACAAAATAGCCATTTCACTTTTGCTAACTATAATTACAATTACAATAAATAATAATAGGTGTATTAAGCATGCCATGTAATGAGGAGCATTTAAATGTTTATCTTTTTATAAAGTATACTGTTTCACAAAAATAGTAGGCAGCATACAGTGTAAATTGTGCAGTATGGAGTATGTCAGCATTCCACTCCAAACACAACTTAAGTGCTCATTTAGCTGGATGCTAACATGATAATATAACTCAACTTCTGAACCCAACTGCTCATTGGGATTAGTGGGATGCTAACATGACATAGTTGGAAGCTACTTGTTCAGTTAATCACACCATGTAATGAGGAATTGTGACAACCATCAAGCATACTACTCTTTACATTATATTATGTAGTACACAGTAAGCCATAGGTCTTCATCCCTGCTAAGTTTTTGGTGCACTCCATTTGTACTCAGAAGTCAGAAATTCTCTTAACTGGAAATCCCCTAAAGTTGCAGTTTAGCTTGGAAGATGGATGTCCATCAGAGGAAATGCAACAACCTCGACTTCAGAATCCAAAATGGCAGCTCAGCGTATCAACATAAGTGAATCAGTAGTAATATATTGTTGATTAGCACTTCTGTGCACACAGTACTATATATCTGTGGACATGATACTTATCTGTGGCATTATCTGTGGAAAATATCACTTTGTATGTGTTTTTATTGACTGTTATTGCTAACAATGGATGAGTTTTCAACTAGTGTACTGCAACACGGTCAACTCAGGTGACGTAATTCCCAGCTCTGACATCCATCTTCCAAGCTAAATGGGATGCGGTATTAATTCCAACCTGCTTCAACACACCCGCCCGTGATTTTAAAGTCACCCTGAACACCTTGATTAGCTTGTTCAGATGTGACTGATTAGGGTTGGACCTAAATCAGGCAAGACAGTGGGTCTCCAGCAACATAGCTGAACGATGTCTGCAGTAAAAGCATTATGTTAACAGTCCATTCTGAACATAACTCGGCTCATTTAGCTGGATGCTAACATGAAAGTAGCTGAATTTATGAACTCAACTGCTCATTGGGATTAACGCATGGGTGTCCAATCCTGCTCCTGGAGGGCCATTGGCCTACGGAGTTTAGCTTCAACCCCAATTAAACACACCTGAACAATCTAATCAGGGTCTTAATAGGCATATTAGAAACTTCCAAGTAGGTGTATTGAGGCAAGTTGGAGCTAAACTCTGCAGGAAAGTGCAGAGTTTGTAAACCATTAGATTAGCGCAGGGCTGGCCAATGTCAGTCCTGGAGAGCCACAGTCCTACAGAGTTTTGCTCCAACCTTGATAAAAACTCACCTGCCTGTAGCTTTCTATTAACCCTTAGACCTTGATTAGCTCGTTCAGGTGTGTTTGATTAGGGTTGGAGCTGAACTCTGCAGGACTGTGGCTCTCTGGGACCAACATTGGCCATGCTTGGAATACTGGAAAGCTAAGATAAGATACAATTAATCAAATACTGATTTTACAATGAAATATCAACAATCCCTGTACACTTTAGTAACTGCTCTAGAGTATAGCAAGACCTTTCCGCATAAAGTAATTTGGACAAGGCTCCTCACCTGATGACCTAAAACTAGACCCAGGTACTGGTGACATCTCCCCCTCCCCTTCTCTCTGGGGACTTTCTTCTGACGACGACTCCCTCCAATGAACCAACGCGTCTCCTGGCTCCCTTATATCTGGACTCTGCATGGAGTCCGAGACTGACTCAAAAGCACTGTTCTCCTCCTCCTCTTCCTCCTGCGAGGAGAAAACTGTGCTCTCCGACAGGCGGGTGCTGTCAACCGAAGAGAGGCGTGTATGGCTGCAAAGGTGGTTACGCCCCTCGTAACCTGAGTTACTGTAACAGGAAGTGCTGTAACAGGACGTGCTGTAACAGGACGTGCTGTAGCAGGAGTTATCACACAGTTCGCACTCACTCTCTCGAGGTTCCCTTCTGTTTACGCCTCCACCACCCACTTCCACGTGTTCGCTTTCTAGTCGGAGGGTGGAAGATGAGGGTCTTTCACACTCCAAAAGTTGGTTGAGTTCGGACAGGCGCTCGATGGAGAGGCTACGTGGTAGGGTACGCCTGCAACAAGGTCTAGGACACTCGGGCACGATGGATGGAGACTGTGCTTCAGACACCTCGTCTTCTTCCTCTTTGTCCTCTTGGGTTTTCACAGTGATTTCCTCAGAAGATTCTGGGTCAAGTACCTCGTCTTCATCTTGGCTGTCATTGTGGCACTGAGCTGATGGCAAGCTGTGCAGCAGATGATGAATGCGGATGTAGTGAGAACGTGGCGTCTCTGGTTCCTCACAGGCCGAGGTGATGACCGTCTCTAACTCGGACACAGGAAGTGAACAGGGACGGCTCTTGCGCTTCAAGGCACTTCGCATCCTTGGCGAGCAGGGTTCTTCATCATTCCCATCTCTTTCCACCCTCATGTCAACCTGCTCTGAGCTTGTGCCTCCCTCAACCTCTGCATGCTCTCCAGTAGGTCCCATTCCAGTTGGTCCACCCGTGTCTTCAGCTTCATGGTTCTCCAGGACCTCTAAAAGAGTCTCCGCCACAGTTTCCTCCTGCATCTCCTCGGACTCTGTTTTTCCAGGGTCTTGCTCTGCAGTTTCTCCTTGAGTGGCATCACTCAATAGTGTCTCTCCTCGAGCTGTTACAAGCTCATCAGCTGATCCTTCTGCTTCTGGTTGGGTATCCCTACTGGGCTCATCTAGAGAGGTAAGCAGCATGGCATCCTGGGTCTCTACCTCTGGAGGACTTTCTGCAGGCAGCTCCAGCATGTCAGGACCCAAACTCAATGCATCCTCCAGAGGCAGATCAGAAGCAGGTGGTAGGTCCTCATTGAGCTCCTGCTCAAGCTGCTGGTCAGGTGTCATATCAAAGACTGGCATTGCATTGAGCGACACCTCCTCATCATCTACCAGAAAGAATAAGCAATCTGTTAATATGGTTAAACAGACCAGCTATGAAATAACACAAGATACCTTTAGCAAAAATCAGTCTAGAAATTCCAACCTAATCTCTCAGGAGAATGTTACTATTTCTTACAAGGTGTATGAATTTGTACAATGTGAATTGTACGAAAACATACAATATTTAGAAAAAGAAGCAAGCATGAAGGTCCACCCCTGCAAATGAGAATCCGGTAATACTTTAGATTAGGGAACTCTATTCACTACTAACTATTAGCATGCATATTACTAGCATGTTGGCTTTTTATTAGTACTTTTAAAGCACATATTAATACCTTATTCTGCATGACAATTTCTACCCCACCCCATACCTAAACATAACTACTACAAACAACTACCTCATTTACTATCAATAAGCAGCAAGTTAGGAGTTTATTTAGGGAAAACTCTTAGTGAATACATGTTCCCTAATCTAAAGTGTTACAGCGAATGCATAAAAATGAATGCGAATTAGCAACCAATTCGGCAAAACATAAAATACTTAAAAATTGCTATGAGATTGTGTTGGAAAGGAATTTTAAAGGAACTGCTCTTCCCAAAATTTAAATCTGACAAAAAATAATCATCTCAGTATTTGTACTGTTGTTGGATAGATAAACATATGCATTAGTAAACATGCTGCAGACCTGGATGAATCGATGAAGTTATCTCAAAACGAAACTGCAGCTGGCCGCTGACATGATCTGTTGGAAGCCGTCGGCCTAAAGTGTAACTCACCACACGATCCCTGTTTACACACGAGACATTTTAAATCCCACAGGCAAACACACCAAAACCCTCACTGCAGCAGCCTATCCGTGCATTTTCAGTCTTTTAAATGCATGTACAGTACCTTCTTGTAAACATTAAAAATAAATTAATATTTAGGCCTATGAAAACTGAAACCCTGGAAGAAAAAATGATGCACAAAAGGACCAATAATTTGAAAAATAAGTCAAGAATTAGAGTGTAATCACAGTCCTCAGCAGGTTCACTGTCAGATAAAATGTGAATGATTAGCAGTAGAATTAGCAGAGTCCTACCCGATAGCATGTTTCTCCAGCAGCCTCTGTACGGGCACAACTAACTTTCCCAGGAAGCGTTTGATGATGGGTCTGCTCTTGGCAAATTTATCTTTAACCTCTATCTCCAAAACGTCCGTCGGCAGGGACACAAAGTTAAATCGCTGTGAATAAAAAAACAAAAAGAGTGCTCAGTTTCTACATCAACAGATTGGTGTTAACTGCTGATATTCAGTTTGTTTGTTTTTCTCTTTGTACTGCATGATTTCCATTTTATTTCATTAAGTTTGTTATCTCAAGGGAATTTGATGGTTCATAACGCATGGACTGGAAATATGTTACTAATTTATTGCTTCATTCCTGACCTTCCCAAATGGCTAGTCCTTTATTAGATTTATAAAAATGAGTTTTTTTGTTGAAATTCATGATTTTTTTTTTAAATACTTAAAAAATAAATTAATAGTTAAAATAAATAAAATAATAATAATAATAATAATAATAATAATAATAATAAATTAAAATGATTATTTTTAGCTTTATTGTGCCCATTGGCTTATCAGAAAATAAGAAATTATTGATGAAACATTAAAAAAAAAAAAGAAAATATAGAAGTCATATTTAAAATTTTAATAACAATTTAAATTGCCTTTATTATACCCCTTGGCTTATCAGAATTAAAATAAATAAATGTTTTTTTTTAAATACTTGAAAAAAAAATACATTAAATTCATAAAAATAAAAATGTATATAAATAATAAAAAATACAATTAAAATAGATTTAGCTATTGTTATTGGCTTTATTGTACCACGTGGCTTATCATAATATTTAAAATATATATATATAATTATTAAAAAATATTCTGATGAAATTCATTGACAATTTTTTCCCCCACTTTTTTTTAAATACTTAGCAAAAAAAACAAAAAAAAACAGATTCAGCTATTGTTATTGGCTTTATTGTAGCCCTAGGCTAATCAGAATATAAGTGTGTGTGTAAAACAGAATATTCTTTGTGTTCTGGGATGCTGCATGCTGGCTGTAGTCCATCAGAAAACTGCAGCGATGACGGAGTCTATGAAAGCACTAGACTGGCTTGTTTTGTTCCCTGTGGCAGTTAACCAAGTATCACGATTCTTTTTCAAGGAGGCACACAGGACTTTTTAAGACGGCTTTTCAATTAGTGGCACACAAGCCCAAACTCAAACCCACACCCTGCTCCCATAACCAAATGCAGTGTGTCCTCAAACGGGCTCTGGATAGACACGGCTCAGAAACACTTTACGCTAGTTAGAGACAGACCACAACTGAGTGGAAGATAACAAGCACAAGCAGAGAACTGCTGTCCAAATGCATTTCATTTAGATGTTCAGGGGTTGCATGTTTATGTGCCAAAGGTTGGTGCAGCAGTAATGTAGCAGCAATAATTCTTACAATTAAGAGAAAATAGTTGCAAACAGCTGCATGCTTCAGGGGTAAGATACTTACACTCTTCAGAGACACATTTAATGCTGTAAAGAAACAGATTTGCAGCTGCTTACAGCACTGACAAAAAAGTACCAGGATGACAAGACCTTTTAAACACAAACTGGAACATGCAGAATCAAACTTAATCAAATGCAAATAAAACTATATATATATATATATACACACACACACATCTTACTATATACACACTTTGTGGTCAGTAAGTTTTTTTTTTTTTTAAAGAAATTAATACTTTTATTCAGCAAGGATTCATTAAATCGCTCAAAAGTGACAATGCATTAGAATTAGAATGTTACAAAACTAACAGTAATTTCTATTTAAAATAAATACTGTTTTTTTTTACTTACTATGAATCCTGAAAAATAAAATGCATCACAGTTTCCGCTAAAATATTGTGCAGCACGACTGTGTTCAACATTGATAATAATCAGAAATGTTTCTCGAGCAGCAGATCAGCATATTATACTGATTTCTGAAGATCATGTGACACTGAAGACTGGAGGAATGATGCTGAAAATACAGCTGCGCATCACAGAAATACATTACAGTTTAACAGAGATTCACATAGAACACAGTTATTTTAAATTCTAATAATATTTCACAATTTGTAATGTATTTTTGATCAAATAAATGCTGCCTCGGTGAGCAGAAGAGACTTCTTTCAGAAACATTAAATAATCTTTTTATGTACATATCATGCACATTACATTTCATCACTCTATGGTAATAAGGTATTTTCAGACATTTACCACAGTGGACCTTCATCTGTGAAGACTGCAACAGACTGTTAGGACAGCTGAGAGGATTATTGGTGTGCACCTGCCCAACATTCAGGACTTGTACATCTCCAGAATGAAGAAACGGGCAGCTAACATTATCACAGACCCCTCTCACCCCGGACACAACCTGATTGCACTTCTGTCTTCAGATCTCTGTGCACCACATCTAGGCATAATCACATTTGTTTTCCCCAGGCCATTTCCACCTTAAATAACTAACACCAATTTACAACCTGCTTTTTCTTATAAATTGTAATTCAGGCAATATGTAAATTTTTACTCATACTGCTGAATATACAGTACATAATGCACACATCTGTACATAAACCGTCAGATATAATGTAAGTTACTTTATTGTTTTTTAATTTATTATTATTTCTTAATTTTTACTCTCATGTTATATGTGTATGTACCAAGAGCTCCTGGAAACCACAACACATGCCTTGTGTATTTGTGCACACTTGGCGAATAAAGCTCATTCTGATTCTGATTGTCATATAAATGATAATTATGTTGTAATCATTCAGTGTAGGTATATATCAAAATACTTTAGTATTACCATCATGATGTCTAATATACAGTAACTGCAAGTCTGTATTTTCAGTACTACAGTATGCAAATACTGATGCACGGCATTATTTTTCCAAGATTCACAGATTTCACGTGACAAGAGTCTGGCCACAGTGTAGAATCAGAGAGATTTGCTTTCTGAATGAAAGAGGATCAGGGCAGGAGTTAATACAAGAGACACAGTACAACACACATCAGTAAATCAGAGAGAATAAGAGCTTGTTCAGATGTGCATCTCACTGTCTGCTGCTGGCAAACGAGCTGCAAGGAATCAAGATCAGCTCTCAGCCTTGTTGCAGGATATAAATAGTAATGTACACAGGCAAAACTCAAACCTTGTGTGTGATTATTAGTGAATGAGACAGTGTTGGTAGGTTTCAACATAGTTGTGATCCAGAAAGGCATTGTCAGCAGGAAAAAAGGACCATTAGTGGAGATGACAGAAAAGGGCTTTGGACATAAGAAGAAACACTCACAGTATCCTCAAAAACCATGAGCTCTGTCCTACACCAGATTTCACATTCACTCTCAGTGGAAAGACTTCTCTATATCAACATCAGGAAAAGATCTGGGTCAGCGCTAGCCAAACGATATAATCTGGGCAAACATATTTCCACTCATCAAGAGCCGAATGGCTGCCAAGAGCTGCAGTTATTAATCACATCTGGATGAGATGGGTTGGGTGATGTATTGCATATTCATGATGTTTGCAATGATTTTTTGTTGAAATTAAGCAGCATCATAAATATGTTCATTTGGTCAGTCAGTTTCCTGATCTCGGTTTCCTCATTGTGTCACAGCTTACAAGTAAAACAGCAGAAACCGAGGCTGTCACAAAGTCTCACATTTAAATCTCAACAACAAAAAAGACAATAGATTTGGGAAGTGAAATTCATTTCCAATTTGTTAAAAAAAATTTTTTTTGATGTATCATGAGGCATTTTACATGTTTCCATAAAAAATTATATTAGATCAATACTGTTGTTTAAATTGGTACATATAAATAAACTATGAACAAAAATATAATATGTATTAACGTATCAAGACACAGAGGAGATTGCAAAAGGCTGAAACTGCATAAAAAAAAAAGATTTTTAAAAATATTTTTACATTATTTCTGGGTCATTAATTAAGCAAATATGTGAGAGCGATCACACTTTCTTGCTTCCGCTGAAAATATGTTTTACACAAATCCATGAGTGTTGTTGTCATTGAAGCAAAAGAAAAATGAAGAAATAAATAAAATCAGGAAAACCTTCTTAATATAAATATGCACTTAAATTGTTATGACAAAATGAAAAAAAGTAGTTTTAAATTAATAAAATGCATAATTGAAGCACTTCATTAATGGTTTCAAACGTTCAAATCTATCCATCTACATCTCTAGTTAGAGTCATATATCTACAGCGGGTATTGAAAAGAATCAGCCCCCTTTAAAATAATCACATTTTGTTGCTTTGCAGCCTGAAATGAAGACAGACAGAGTTTTTGTTTTATCCAGCTGTATTTACTCAGTGCAACTTATGACATCCAAGTGATAAATATAACACCAACATGTCAGAAAAAACAAAAAAAACAAAACTGAATCTCTGAGTTGGAAAAAGGATCAGCCCCTTGTGTCAGTATTTAGTTGAAGCAGCTTTTGCTTTAATTACAGCTTTTAGTCTGTTGGGATTTGTCTCTACTAACTTTGCACATCTAGTCTTTGCAATATTTGTCCGCTCTTCTCTGCAGAACTGCTCAAGTTGAGTTAAATTTGATAGTGAGTGTTTGTGGACTGCAGTCTTCAAGTCCTTCCACAGATGCTCAGTGGGGTTTCAGTCTGGGCTCTGACGAGGCCATGCAAGAACATTCAGCCTTTTCTCCTTCAGCCACTGTGTGTTAGTTCTGCTGTGCGCTTTGGCTCATTGTTATGTTGGAAGGTAAACCTTCTTCCCATTGACAGCTTTCTGGTAGAAGGCAGCAGATTTTCCTCAAGAATTTGACCGTATTTTGGACATCCAAGTGATAAATATAACACCAACGTGTCAGAAAAAAAAACAAAAAAAACTGAATCTCTGAGTTGGAAAAAGGATCAGCCCCTTGTGTCAGTATTTAGTTGAAGCAGCTTTTGCTTTAATTACAGCTTTTAGTCTGTTGGGATTTGTCTCTACTAACTTTGCACATCTAGTCTTTGCAATATTTGTCCGCTCTTCTCTGCAGAACTGCTCAAGTTGAGTTAAATTTGATAGTGAGTGTTTGTGGACTGCAGTCTTCAAGTCCTTCCACAGATGCTCAGTGGGGTTTCAGTCTGGGCTCTGACGAGGCCATGCAAGAACATTCAGCCTTTTCTCCTTCAGCCACTGTGTGTTAGTTCTGCTGTGCGCTTTGGCTCATTGTTATGTTGGAAGGTAAACCTTCTTCCCATTGACAGCTTTCTGGCAGAAGGCAGCAGATTTTCCTCAAGAATTTGACCGTATTTTGCCCTGTACATGTTTCCTTCTATCCTGACGAGTGTTCCAGTCGCTGCTGCAGAGAAACACCCCAGAACAGGACATCACAGCTCCATGCTTTACTGCAGGAATGCTATTATCTGGATGCTGAGCTGGATTGGATTTCCTCCAGACATATTGTTTGGTGTTGAGGCCAAATAATTAAATTTGAGTCTCGTCTGCCTCAGAATCTTCAAGGTGTGTTCTGGCAAAGCTCAGTCGTGACTGCATGTGGCCTTTCTTGAGGAGTGACTTTTTTCTTGCAACCCTGGGGCTGCTTCATATGAGGCCATTTCTGTGGTGGACGAGGAGTTTGTCCCTCGTGGCCGGCCCTCCGCCTACTAAGAGTGTTGCACAGTTGCTTTTGCGCCCTTTCAACATGGTGGGACACTCTCTTTCTTCAGCAGTCAGAATAGACAACATGGCTGGTAGTGTCTCACATAAACATGTGCACCACCTCCTTCTTTGGTCTCAGGACAGGTTTCTTTCCCTGAGAGTGCTTCAAGTCCCCGGGGCTCTGAACCTTGCAACGGACTTCATATCGAGGCAGAAACTCAGGTCGGGGGACTGGATGATGACTGGATAGCTCCTTCTACTAGAAGGCTTTATTCTTCCAAGTGGAAGGTTCTTGAGTCGTGGTGTTCAGCTCATTCAGTGGACCCAGTCAGCTGCCCGATTGGTTCAGTGCTGGAGTTTCTGCAGGAGAAGTTTGCGGCTGAAGCGGCTGCTACCCCCTTGAGAGTTTATATTGCAGCTATCGCTGCTCGCAGATATGCGGACAAAAGTCCCCCTAGGTAGACATCATTTGGTCTCTTTGTTTATGCGTGGGGTTAGGCATTTGAGGCCGGTGTGCCCTGTCAGTGTTCCTTGCTGGGACTTGTCTATCATCCTGGTGAGCTTACTGGAGTCGCTGTTTGAGCCTTTGGAGTCAGATCCTGAATGGATTCTGAACCTTATGGTGATGCTCCTGTCGGCGTTGACTTCTATCAAACACATTGGGGATTTGCAGGCTCTCTCTGTTAGCATGTCATGCATGGAGTTTGCTCCAGGCCTTGTTAAGTTATTCTTACAGCCCAGACCCGGTTATGTCCCCAAGGCCTTGTCCATGTTATTTCGCTCCCAAGTGGTCATGCTTCACTCCTTCTGTCCTCCTCCTTTTGCTTCTGTTGAGGACGAGAGGCTTCACTGGCTCTGCCCTGTTCGAGCTTTGAAGCTCTAGATGGACCACTCTAGCCAATGCCACAAGTCCTCCCAATTGTTGGTGTGTTTTGGTGCTGGCCACAGAGGGCTCACTGCATCAAAACATAGGATTTCTAATTGAGTAAGGGACTCCATCTCGCTTGCGTATGAAGTGCACAGTCTCTCTTCACCGCAAGGTATTCGAGCTCATTCTACTAGGAGTGTTGTTTCCTCTCAAGCTCTTTTCAGAGGACTTCCCCTGGAGGGCAGGGTGGATGGTCATCTCTTCACAGTTTTATCAGGTTTTATAGCTTGGATTTAGATGTGGCTCCTGGTTTCCAGATTCTTCCTGCTTGAACCAGCCATTTGAGGTTAGCCTGGTCTTTTTTGCATCAGGCCAGATATGGCAGCACTTAGCTTGGCGGGTGTGGTATATCGTTCCCATTGCATCATAGCTATGCAATGTTGAGTGAACCTATGAAAGAGAACGTCTCGGGTTACTCGCGTAACCCATGTTCTCTGAATAGGGAATGAGACGCTGCCGAGCTCCTCGCGCTGCCAACAGGGCTTCTTCGGCAGGAGATCTGAGGAGCGGATGGGGCGCCATCAGCCAATGAATTGGCGTGATTCCATACTGGCTTCAGACAATCGCCAACCCCAAGGGGCATTCCCAGGGCATCATAGCTATGTAGCGTCTCGTTCCCTATTCAGAGAGCATAGGTTATTCACAACCCATTTTCCAAGGAAATGAAGAAACAAAATTAATAAAACATATGCAGTCACTGAGATTAAAACAATAGTTAAAAAACAAAAAGCAAACTAACTAAATTCATTTCAAAACAACGTATGAACCAATGGAATATTCTGTGGACACTCTGAGACTCCCGCAGTAAACAGGCAGCAAGGCACTATGGGAAACTCAGCAGGTCACGTTTCATCTAGCAGACATTATATGGTGCCATTAACCCCAAAAGGGCCGCCGGTGAAAACCTTCTGTGGCTCACGTTTGCTCTCTACTGGATTTCAGCCAGTTCAGCCAAGCGTGGGAAGAGAAATGAGCCCATTTCACCCACTGACTTACTGCCGACTGCCTGACTTACAGCGAGCCGAGTATTTCACACACGCTACAGACTGAGACACCAGCTATCTGAAACCGATAGCAGAGGATAAGGAAACCCAGAACAGCTGTAATCAGGGTAAGTATGGCAGCACAAGCCTGTTCATTCACTCACAATACAGTCTGGAACGGAATATTATCACATGGCATCGTAAAGTATGTAAGTAGTTTTCATTTTTGAAAAGGCTCCTTTATGAAACAATAAATTCATTAATTAAAGTAAAAATAATTGTTTCAAAGAATGCAAATGCAAAAATGAACAATAAATAAATTTTTGTGTTTCAGAAAAAAATGCTATTATTGTGAACAAAAGATGAACTACAAAAGTCTAATCTACTTTTTTCACACATTTATTTTGAATTCTCAGAGAACAAACACAAAAGTAAGAGCTAAAGTGAAGAAACTAAACAAATGCATACAAAGGCAAATAATCATTGGATAGGTGATGCTTTAAGAAAATGCAAACTTGTAAACATTTGAGTAATTCGTGCATGTATGAAGTTTTTATATCTATTTTGTCCAAGGTTTCATTATTCATTTGGCAGTTTCTTTTTAGTCTGCATATTACTGGATATTATTAATGAAAGCTAAAGAGAGATGAGTAGCTGTTGTCAGACTGTTGCTGGGAGTCTCTGAGGGAGGTGAAGCTAACAAGGCTTGTGTTCAGGTTTATTAGGACAAGAGTGAACAAGCTGCTGTGAAGATGCTCAGGAGATTGTGCTGTAGGGATTGCCAGCCTGTCACAACACGTGTGTGTGTGTGTGTGTGTGTGTGTGTGTGTGTGTGTGTGTGTGTGTGCGTGCGCGCGCTCTGAAGCTGTCTATAAGACACTGCAAGAACAGACACAATGATTATTAGTGGCTTTCTCACTGAGAGAGCGATGCTTTTCACCACTGCTTCAGTCTGTTAAAGGGAGATTTCACCCAAAAATGGAAATTCTGTCATCATTTACTTGCCTTCATGTCGTTTCAAACCTGTATGAGTTTCTTATGTTGAAAAAAAGATTTGTGTGTGTGTGTGTGTGTGTGTGTGTGTGTGTGTGTGTGTGTGTGCGTGCGCGCGCTCTGAAGCTGTCTATAAGACACTGCAAGAACAGACACAATGATTATTAGTGGCTTTCTCACTGAGAGAGCGATGCTTTTCACCACTGCTTCAGTCTGTTAAAGGGAGATTTCACCCAAAAATGGAAATTCTGTCATCATTTACTTGCCTTCATGTCGTTTCAAACCTGTATGAGTTTCTTATGTTGAAAAGAAGAAAAAGAGAAGATATTTTAAGGAATGTTGGTGACCAACAGTTGCTGGTAGCCATTGACTTCTATAGTATTTTTCCCTACTATAGAATTCAATGGCTACCAGCAACTGTTTGATTCCCAACATTTTTCAAAAGATCTTCTTTTGTGCTCAACAGAAGAAGGAAACTCATACAGGTTTGAAATGACATGAGGGTGAATAAATTATGACAGATTTTCCATTTTTGGGTGAACTGTCCCGTTAACAACAAGTAAAAATATAGTTCTGTCATGACAACTCTTGGAGGGACTGGCATGGTAATGTAATAATAATAACAATGTACATGACAATGTTAATGTATTTGGTCTTGGCGGAATAGATCTGCTACGTTGCTGCTGCAGCAGAGCAAGTACCGAGACTTGCTACTGCCAATACATCCACAACATGCTGCTGTGAGCATGTAAGAAATACTGCTGCTGCAAATATAACATACATGAATCACCTCGTAGCAGATCTATACAGGTGGAGCTGGGGAAGGTGGAGGGTTTCTGAAGCAAGCTGCGACTGCTACGGCAAGCACTAGTCATATATTTGAATGTTGAGCAGCGAGCTCATTGGCTACCAATACAGGAGAGAACCAATCAGCTGCCATGTGATAATGATGTCATTAGGTCAGATTGAGTTAGACCTATCGGACTGCGACATCTAGAGTTTCATGCCAGAACTCTGTATTTATTGTGTGGTTTATGTATTTAATTTTTAGATTTAAATGTTTCTGTTTCTGGTGATTTTTTAGACGTCAGAATGCCTTTAAATGATCCGTCATATCAAACATGAGTAAAGGAGGTTGAGGAAAAGCTCACCTCTCTCTTCCAGATGGGGTTGACCGTGTTGCAGATGATGCCTGACCGTTTCTCCTGACCGTGATGAGGCAGCGCAGGGAAGATGCTGTGCTTTCCAGGCTGGATGGCGATTTTCAGATACGGATCAGGATTGAAGAACATTCCCTTCTTCAGACCGACTGCTTGAATGTCTGAAAAAAAGCAGAGCAAAGGAAAACTTTATGGTGAAATGACAACTAAAATATGTAGTGCAATTATTACCATAGTAATATTATTAAAATGATCAATTATCTTATTATATATATATACTGTATATATATATATATATATATTAGGGCTGTCATCGTTAACACATGCAATTAATTTTACAATCCTTAAAATAATTTAACGCAATTAACGCAAAATTACTGGAGCACAATTTCTATTCTAACGCTTTAACCCCATTTTGCTACTCTGCTTGCGATTAGATCATTTTAAGCCGCTAAACTAAGTCCAATGATCCAGTAAGCGAATGCATTCAAACAATCCGTCCAAAACAGCGCTAATATCAAGGAAACCAGGCTGATTACATCAGAGATTGCAGAGAGAACAGACACGGGTTGCGTTTTCAGTGAATTATTCATTCCAGTGTGTTTTAAAAACAAGCTCTGTCATATTCTGTGATTGTCTCTGAAGCGCGCAAGCCCTCACACGTCACGCACTTGTGTGAAGTACAGACTGAACGGATTGTCAACACATCCCACCGCTGTATGGCAAACTACGGTTTCTCGACTGGATATACAGTCTCGCTAGTCAAGTCAAGTCAAGTCAAGTCACCTTTATTTCTATAGCGCTTTTAACAATAGGCATCTCCATGTGGTCCTGTTCGGTATCCCAACTTGGCTTCTCTAAAATGTAAAAAGCTCTTTGGTGTTGCACTGTACACATACTATAACATTCTCATTTTTTAAAATTTTATATGTGGTTATATAGACTCCTTTTGGAGTTTCTAAGTGTCCTTTTTTAGAAAGTCATCTAAATTTATCTTGAAAAAAGCTTGCAGAAAATATAGATTTTTGAGAATCACCCTTCAATCTTTTGGTTTACTTTGCTGGATATAGCTAATAATGACAAAATAAACATTTGAAACAAGATAAATGGTCTATGCTTAATTTCATGAAGTGTGCGATTAATCACAATTAATCACAGAAATGCGATTAATCAGATTAAAAATTTTATATATAATAATTTATATATACTTTATTTAATAATTAAATAATCATTTAGAGTTTATGGTGAAACAACAACAGAAAAAACATCATCAGTGAGTCAAAACACTACATATGTATGTTTGTATGTATATTTATATATATATTGATATCAAGATAAATTATTACATTATAAAAATAAATTTCAAGCTTTTGTGGTCCAGGGTCACATATGTTCTAATATTGGTCTTTCCTGGTGTCCTTGTAATATTAAAACATAATTTATAGAGAAACAGGGGAAGCTAGAGGCTTAAAGGCTAAAGCCGTAAAGTCTGAGTCTGGGAATATGAAGAGAAAAGCAGGAAGTGTCAGAATCCCACAGGAACTCATTATCTCCTCCAGTATCCAGATGGCAGCGATGGGCTTGGGTGGTACGTATTATTGCACTGTCATAATCTACTGACTATGAGCTTAATGTGTTTTTAACAGTTGGAGCATCTGAGTGTGTGATGCCATTTAGAGCCAGGGGACCTCCCATATTCACTGAAAAGACGTGAAATTATTGCACAATCATTTTTAGGCGAACTGATGATCTTAAGTTTATGTTAAGTTAAAAGGAACCATGTTCTTCATCTCCTGAGGGGGTTTTCTGCTCACTGAGGAGATTCACTGGCAGCTGGACCTTCTTCAAAGTGCATGTGTTTGTAGCAGCATGTTCAGACAGACCTTACGCTCACGGCAGAAGATGGTGCTATGAATAAAACATACAGTGCTGAGGGAGTCCTGAAGAGTACAGACAATAGTTTGGCCATCGCAACTTCAAATATAATTGAGAAGACCGAGAAAAGGAGAGGATATGAAGAGACAAGATTGATCCTTTGATAATGGATATTTTAAATTATGTTTGGGTTATGACATTGGATTTAAACAATTCAATTCAGAAGTTAACATAATACAGAAGCCCTGCTGTATATTTCAAAGCGGTTCTCAAATTTCTCAAGAATCGTTGAAAAAAGAAACAAAAAAACCTTGTTATTTCTGCAGGTTTCATTGAAATGGCTCATTGAAATAACTCCACAGTGAGTGTGAAACGCTAGAGGATTCATGGGAAATTGTCGCTCAGTGCAACATAGAAACACATCAGAAAAGGGTTATAAAGGTTTTATGAAGCCCAGAGACTTCAATGAGAGAGAGAGACATTTCTGAGGCTAGAGATGAAAATGTTGAGATACTTCTCTAAAACAAAAAATGTTCCCTTGAGGATCCAAAATATACAAATTGATTGAATTCAATTAAAAAGTAATTGAAATGAATAAAAAAATCCACTAGAAATAAATGTATACATGCATACATCCATGCACACACACATTGTCACGATCGCTGCCTCACGTGCCTGGGCATTAAGCACGCTGAGGTGGAGTTCGTGGATGAGTCATGCTCTCATTGCAGGAAGATGACCATCTCGGAGTTGCGGACCAGGCTCCTTTACCTCAAAAGGGGTGGAGTTCAGGGGCCTCTGCCACAATCTAGTTCTCTTCCTGGCAGAAGTCATGGGAGGACTACATCTGGCAGCAGCTCGGGCGGTTTGAGGATCACAGTGGTGGCAACCCCTCCGAGGAACCAACCTCCCAGGGACCGCCACTCCTCTAGCACTTCGCAGCCAGTCGAGCTCCCTCAGGAACGTGCTGGGCCCTCTACAAGGAGTATACCAGCCGTAGCCTTTGGGGCTTCTCCCGACGATCTGATGTAGAGGAAGATCCTCTTTGGAGAGGAAGATTCGGCTGCGCTGCTGCCCTCCGGGACGGTAGCAAGGCCTGAATCGGATCCAGAGATGACGGCTATGCTTTCCTGGACCGCCGAGAGGGTAGGGCTCGAGTGGAAACCTCCACCGTGTCCCTGGTCCTCGAGGTTGGATGACTGGTTTCTCTGGGTGGCCCGCGCTGGTTCTCAGTGCCCCACTCCGGTGCCATTCATCCCGGAGGTGCATGAGGAGCTCACCAGGTCGTGGATGGCACCTTTTACTGCCAGAAACCGGCCTGGTAGTTCCTCCTCCCTCACCACCCTCGATGGTGGAGCAGCCAAAGGGTATACGGAGATCCCCCCGGTGGAGCGGTCGGTAGCGAGCAGAAGCAGACTGAGGCGATTCGACACATCCTGCCCTGGCGGGCAGCTGCTGCCTCCACCCCTCCGCCGGCTGCAGCACCTCAGCCTGCTCGTCGCCGAGTGAGTCCCCCTGCAGCCGCCCCCGCTCCGAAGCAGCCTCCAGCTAAGCAGCGCCGTGGAGCCGGTCGCAGGGCATCCGCCCCACCCGTCTCGGCCCCCGCCAAACCTGCTGGCAAATGGAAGAGCAAGAGGCCCTGAGACGGGCGACCCGCGATGGAGGGAGTTGCTCTTCGGGAAATGGTGAACGTACCACTCCCTCCCCCGGAGGAGGGCCGGGCGGAGAATCTTTTGTTTTGTTTTATCCCGCCACTGACCTCTCAGTCGGTGGTACTCAAACACTCAATAAAAGAGCAAATTCCTCTATCTCTGGGTCTCAAGAGGGCACGGAGAGTTGTGGACAGTCCAGAGCTGGATCACACTCATCCTCCTCTGTCGCCAGTAGGGGCGTAATGATTCACTCATTTTCTCGATGCATCGATTACAAAACCTGACGATGCAATGCATCGATCTTGAAACATGGATTTTTGAATCGCTCGCGCTCAGTTCGTCTCACGGACACATTTTTTGAGGAGCTGATGTATGATCTCGTGGCCAGTAATGCTAAAGTGAAGTAGTTTTACTTTTCTGAAGTTTTTAGTGGCTCTCGGTCATACCAACTACATTACCAGAGCAGTCGAAAGCTGCGCATTTATTGCATGGATAGAGCAAAAATGTAAGTGTTTAAAGCATATGCACAGTTCCATTGAATGATAAATGTGTTTTAATAATGTTGTTGAACCGAATGTATGAAGGAAACTGCTAAAATAACCACAGCATTAACAACAACCTTGAAATAAAAGCGCAAGGTTTATCTGATAATCAGATCCATAAAAGTAGCGTTTGTTGCTATAGCAAATAGACATCCGGCGTTTTCTTTCATAATCATCATTCACCGATGGAGAGGAAAAGTTAAATGCTATAGCATTTTATTTTATGAAAATTAGTTAAGTTTTCACACTGAAAGGGAAGTGATCTCGTGCTCATAGAATTAAGACGTGCCAGGCTATATCTGCAGCTGTATAAAAAGCAGAATGACCTGAAACATTAAAGGGGTCATATGATGCGATTTCAATTGTTCCTTTCTCTTTGGAGTGTTACAAGCTCTTGGTGCATAAAGAAGATCTGTAAAGTTGCAAAGACTAAAGTCTCAAATCCAAAGAGATATTCTTTATAAAAGTTAAGTGTCAACCACACCTACCTAAAATGGCTCGTTCTAACACGGCGGTCCCACTGAAACGATTTCAGAGGCTCCTGGGGCATATTGCAGCTGCTGCGGCAGTCAAGCCACTGGGGCTGCTTCATATGAGACCACTTCAGCACTGGCTCCATGGCCGAGTCCCGAGGTGGGCGTGGCAGCGCGGCGCTCACCGGATCCAAGTCACACCGGCCGGCCGCCAAACCTTCACCCCGTGGTTAGACCTTAGGTTTCTTCGGGCAGCAGTGCCCCTAGAACAGGTCTCGAGGCATGCTGTGGTACACATGGATGCCTCTACCACCGGCTGGGGTGCCACGTACAACAGGCAAGCAGTCTCGGGGGTGTGGACGGGCCCCCAACTGCACTGGCATATCAATTGCCTGGAGTTGTTAGCAGTGCGCCTTGCCTTTAACCGTCTCAGAGTACGCTTTCAAGGCAGGCACGTACTGGTCCGTACAGACAACGCTGTGACCGTTGCGTACATCAACCGACAAGGTGGTCTGCGCTCCCATCGTATGTTTCAACTCGCACGCCACCACCTCCTTTGGAGTCAGAAGCATCTGAGGTTGCTTCGTGTCATTCACATTCCGGGCCTGCACAACCGTGCAGCCGACGAGCTGTTATGAGCTGCGCTCCCCGGAGAGTGGAGACTCCATCCCCGGACGGTCCAGCTGATTTGGAGACATTTCGGAGTGGCTCAGGTAGACCTGTTTGCCTCTCCTGAAACCTCTCACTGCCAGCTGTTGGTGTCCATCCATGGCGCTTTGGTAGCGATTCCCAATTCGTCAGTCTCGTCGCCACAGCTGCTGTACCACCGCTGAGCGGCCAGGTCACCGCCTCGGCTCCAAAGCGAAAACCTGAATATGCGCTGCATCTGCTGCCTATTTATACTCGCGCTGCGATCAGCGGCAGCTGGATGCAATCATCGCATGCCAATGTGCATTGGCTCGTTTAGTTTACACTCGAAGTAGATTGGTCTCTCACGTGACATCTCCGTTCCCTCTTTCAGAAAGTTAAAAAGAACAGCATTTATTTGAAATAGAAATATTTTGTAACATTATAAATGTCTTTACTGACACTTCTGATCAATTTAATGCATCCTTGATGAATACAAGCATTGATTTCTTACTTTCAAGGTATTACTGACCCCAAAACCTTGAATGGCAGTGTTTATTTATTTAATTAAACTGCTTAAAAACCAATAGCAAATCAATTCCTGTGTACATTTACAATAAAGGTGGAAGAGATTTTCAACAGTTGACAAACTACTACATATACCTATACTTCATCACTAACATTACTTACAAATGATCTCATTGCATTTTTAACGTATTTGGCACAATTTTCATTCAAGATGTTCTTTTTTTTAGATATATAAATACATACATACATGCACACACACATAGCCAGCACTGACTTACCTGACAGAGAGAAGCTGATGAGCCTCCTGCTGCCCAGAGTCTGAGGAAGCTCCTGACTGATGACAGGCTTCAGCGCCTATCAGAGAGAATGACATCAGTCAGCTGATCACGTGACTGAAGGACAGGAAGAGCGGCTGACAACAGGAAGTAACTCTACACAGGCCACGCCCCCCTTTTTTCGTTCCTCTTCTGATTTCTTCAGCAGTGTCTGGCCTGATATACTGTGCATAAAGCCCATTACAGACGCCCGGCTCATGGCACCAATCAATAGCATGCATTCATTAGGACTGCATTGATTCAGCATCCAGGAAGTGGAAGGGAAGAGGCTCATGGGACGGCACTTCTGAGAAGAGGAAAAACTCAAGCTCTATGGCTGATAGGGAACACTGGCTCCAGGGTTATTACTGTGAACTACAGATCAAAATAAGTGACTTAAAACACTTTTGTCAACTGAAGAAAAAAATACTGCAATATATACAAGTTCAAAAGTAATAAAATACCAAAAACTAATTTTTGTAAACTAATTTTTATAACCGCCCATCTTCGTTTTTATAATCATCCTTCTTCAGAAATACAGAAATATACCTGTGTCCGTACGCAGTAAGAAATCCCACCTGCAGATGGCAATACATGTGTGATGATGCAGTTTAAAAAAATAAATAAAAAAAATAAAAAATTAAATAAAATAAAAAAATAAAATAATAAAATAAAATAAAATAAAAATTAAAAATAAAAAAAAAATAAAAATATATTAAATTAAATTAAAATAAAATTAGAAGTGTTGCCTTGGCAATTAACTGAAATAAGTTGAAGCACTAAAATTACTAACTGGAAATCAATAAAAATATCTAAAATAGTGAACTATTTTACATCATTTGAGATAGTAAAATGATCTTGGGGTCCAGGGTTATTATCACGACTAAAACTATCAAAATCATTTTTGTTCATTGAAATAAAATAAAGAAATAATACATAAAAAATTAGAAATGTTGTCTTAGCAACTAACTGAAATATGTTTAATTTGATGCACTAAAATTAGTAACCGGACATAAATAAAAACTAAAACTGACGTCTTTATGCCAAAGACTTTCACTTCTTTTCAACAGGACGACGTGCACAGAATGACAGTCAAAGGGATTTAAAACACAAAACAACACACATTTAGTGCAGAAACAAACTCTCAACACTTAATTTCAGTCAGTCTACTATAACCTCCTTTCTAATCTTTGTAATGTCAAGTTCCAGAAAACTACCTATAAATGAGTCCATATATCCTTCAGAGTGTACAGAGACAAACAGCAGGCAGACAGAAAAGCAGAGCAGGTGTTTGGAGCGGTTCACACCCAAATGAGATGCAAATCCTGTCCTCCTGAGCGCTGCTGCTGGCCTGAACGCAGCTTTACCCAGATTACTCAGATTAAACAGATCTGCGGGAGACTCAACGGTGCTTCAGCGGGACTCTGGCACGGCCCACACACTACCGTCGGGATCCAGACCGGTTATTACACAAAAGGTGGCGGTTTGAACCACGAATCCTACTTCAGCCTGCCGATCAACCTGTTTGTTTTTAGTATATAGTCGATTTTTATTTTATGAAGAGCATTTGTTGCCAGGGTATCTATGTGGTTGCTAAGGAGATTTAAGTTGCTTTAAAACTGTTGCTAGGTGGTTGCTAGCGTGTCAGAAGAGCCAAATCACAAGTCTCTATGACATTCAGGTCTCTAGATATAGATTAAGAAATCTCTATGTTTAATTTCCAAAAGATACAAAGGGGTAAATTGACTTTATGGATTTATGTCATTAGTCTAAACATGCCACAACATACCATAGAGCCATATGCAAATATTGTTTGTAAAAAAAACTAAACTTATAAATGAAAAAACATATATATATATAAATTCAATATTTTAATAAAAAAATATATTTTAATGATACTAATATAACACTGGTTGATGGTAAATATTGGCATGAGGAATACTGCAAATGACAGCATAATAGAAAAAATTAGCAGAGGTAGAGGTGCCAATGTGTCATCACCAATCCATACAATGCAGAACCATTTTATGCTTATTTTATTTCAACTCCATTACTGTCATCATCTGTGTATGGGTTGTTTTGAAAACTTATGAAAATTAATATTAAGAACATATGGATAAATCTTACCCTGTAGTTTATCACATTGTTTATTGTCGAAGCTCAAAATGATATATATATATACACACACACATATATATTAACAAAAACATAAACAAGAAAAACAAATTTTTTTATGACTCAAAAAGTAAAGTAATATAAAAATGGCAACAAATTAGTTTTAGTTTTTAATACAACGGATGCACACACCTTCTAAATGCTCTACTAGTGCTCGCCATAATAAATAGATAGCTCTTACTTTTTCCTTGAAAATGCACGCTTCAAACAGAACAGTCAATGAAGACGAAGAAGAGGATGATGTGTAGCTCCCGGCGCCGATTTATACTGGAGTCGCACCGGTAGTGACGTCATGGCTGTCGCCGGCCAACGAGTTGGTGTTTTTTCAATGTATGCTTCAGACACGGGTCACGACGAGGCGTTCCCCATAGCGACCCCTAGAGGACGCAGTTCGAAGTTCCCATGAAAGGGAACTAATTTTTTTATGACTCAAAAAGTAATATAAAAATGGCAACAAATTAGTTTTAGTTTTTAATACATGGTAAATTATAAAGCTTGCATTAAACACGAAATTTCCACTAGATAGCACTAGACTGTGCAAAGGAAAGTAGTACTGTTAAATATTAATAATGATAATAAAATAAGAAAAAAATACAAAATGGAAATTAAATTAAAACACAAATTCAAAACTACGTTAAAATATTTAGACGTACTATGGTAGTGCCCTCAATGTAAAAAGTGGTAAGTGCTGTTTCTACCTGATTTACCTAATAAAAATGTGTTTTGTCTGTACAATTTTATGCATTTTGCAATATTAAATAATATTTTTGACTTATGGTGCTTTCACACCTGTAGATCGATTGCTTTGTTCCGAAACAGGGATTAAAATTATTACAATGTTGCTTTTTATTCTTGGTGCGGTTCGCTTTTCACACGGCAAAGTTTCTAAACGGACCAAATTTGTTAATACAAGTCACGCACGAGTAAACTGTTCTCTCATTGGTCAAAGTTCCACGGTTTATTTTCTGGGATTCCACTTAGCTGAAAAAGTGTGCTTTTTCATTTTGAATGGCGAAGACGTGCTCACCCACAGACACTCACAGGTTCATTTTGAAGTATTAGCAAAACAGCAAAGCTAATGATTTTCACGGAACTTACGTAATTACCCATCATACATTGTGATATAGCTCCACGGTTTATTTTCTGGGATTCCACTTAGCTGAAAAAGTGTGCTTTTTCATTTTGAATGGCGAAGACGTGCTCACCCACAGGTTCATTTTGAAGTATTAGCAAAACAGCAAAGCTAATGATTTTCACGGAACTTACGTAATTACCCATCATACATTGTGATATAGCCTGGTTCGTTGGTCCGTTAGATCGGATTGCTTTCTCACTACAACCGAACCGCTCCAGAGTTAGTTTTCAATCAAGCCGAGACCACCTCGTTCAGGTGATCTCGGACCGAATGTTTTGGCGCGGATCCAGGCGCGATTGCCGTGTTCACATATGCCCAAACGAACCGAGCTAACGGGGGAAACACGCCAGGTTCCGAGACAACGAGCCAGGTGTGAAAGCACCCTTAATCTAAACCAGTTCATTTAGATATTACAATTTTTAGGTCTTTTTTTCAGTATTCAGTACCAATGCTATACATCAACAAAATCTATTCTGGATATTAAATGGAATGATGTGTGCTACATCAATATAATCTAATAAATGCTATGTAATATGTAGAAACAGAGCTAATCTGAATTAATCAGTCCCAGTGTGAAAGGAGCAAACCAAATCTGTGATGCTGTGCAGTCATCAGAACACATGAAAACACTGACAGGAGAGTGATTACTGTGTGTGTGTGTGTGTGTGTGTGAGTGAGTGAGTGAGTGTGAGTGTGAGTGTGAGTGAGTGTGAGTGTGTGAGTGTGTGTGCGCGTTTTTGTGACAAATGAGGACATAAATGTGTATAATGACAAAGGTATGACAGGTATTACAAGGAGAAGGTGACTTTTCAGGACATTACCCCATGTCCCCACTTTTCAAAACGCTTATAAATCACACAGAATGGAGTGTATTGAAAATCTGAAATAGCAGAAAGTCTCCTGTGAGGGGTAGGTTTAGGGGGAGGGTTGGTGTAGGGCAATAGAATATACGGTCTGTACAGTATAAAAACCATTACACCTATGGAGAGTGCCCACTTTTCACAAAACCAAACCTGTGTGTGTGTGTGAGTGTGTGTGTGTGTGTGTGTTGCACGTGAGAGTGACGTTAACGCTATAAGCAGCCAATGAACAGGAAAACAGCTGATAAAGAGAGAGGGAGAGAGAGAGAGAGAGGCTGCAGGATGCTGAATGCATGCTAATGTCTGTGTGACACGTGAGAGGAGAGCAGTGGGACAGTGAGTCAGCGTGGCAAAACACACATTTACACCTGATTTACAATGTAAGAGCAGCGCAGACTTTTGTAACCTGAATGTGTGAGGCTTCAGCTTTCATGCACTTCTAGTTATTTAGCGGCTTGATATTTCAAACTGGTACTTCTTATATTATTTTAATGTATTGTTGTAAAAGTAAACACACTGGTTTGAAACACCAATCGTTTTCCTGTTTATTACACTGTTATTCTTCTAGTTATTTATGGCTAATGAATCAGATTTCAGAAGTCTTGAAAATAGCTTACTTCTGATAGCAAAATAAGGAGACATACTACTAGTCATAAGACTAGTTCAGACTAGTTAAAAGGCATCTTTTAAAAGAGTTAGACAGTTTGAACTGATTCAGTGGAGAGAATTTAACTAACCGTTTCAGCGAATCGATTTAAAACTTAACGATTCAATGATTTGGTCGTGCCATCACTCATACCCAATACATTTACGTATATTAAATATATAAAAATACACTGTAAAATTAACGTCTGTTATTTTTTACAGAAA